TTACTGTACTTTAATTGAGTTTGAGCTTTAATCGCTAGTGTTTTGCACTAATTATGTGTTTTATTCCTTGTAGGAGGATTCCGAGTGATGAAGATGTGATGGAGTTAATTCGAGTGATTTGGAGCTTTGAAGTATGAGTAAAAGTCCAAAGAATTAAGCCGGGATCGCGTTCGGGGGTCGAAAATCACGTAAAGTCAAGAAAAATCCGTACTCTGAGAAAACACTACACCCACAGCACGTGGGGTAGTGCATGGCGCGCCGCGCCCGTGTAAAATCATGTCGTCTATCAGAAATCAACTCTATGGAATCCCCCACTAATGTGCCCTGCATGGCGCGTCGCCCCATGCGGCGCGCCTGTGCAATTTTTACAGAGTATTTGTCCTATTTCGCATGAGAAGATATTTTCATCTGGGCCCGACCCTACTTGGTATATATATATATATATATATATGAAAAAATATTATTTTTAGGACTTTTGACACAACAAAGACCTAAGGAGGCTAAGGAGGAGGTGGAAAAGAAAAAGCACAAGGAATTCTTCATTCAATCCTTACTCAAGACACGAATTTGGATCGTTTTATATTTTTCTTTACTTTAAACTTATTTGTGATGAATTACTCAATATCCATTGAGTATTTCTCCTTAGGGATTGGTGGATTTAGTGTATTGATATTTGTTTGTGGATATTAACTCTAGTTTTTATGTATTGAATTATTTTGGGTGTTTTAATTGTTGCATCTATATTCACATATTCATGTAATCGAGAGATGCATAACTTGTGATATCTTTGCATTATATTGTTGGTTGAATTCATTAATTCCTCTTAGTAATCGAAAGAGGCTAGCTGAATTGTTGACTAAACCTAGTTAGAAGGATAATCGAAAAAGGTTCTTCTAAAGACCAATCTACTACGAAGTCGTGCATATCTTCACTGAGTTTAAATTGGTTCATATTATGAGGTTGAGACTTAATCGAGAGAGGAGTTTCTACTAAATGCTTGAACTAATAATTGAGTGAATTTGAGAGACTCACTTGAACACTATAAGTGAATTAACTATAGTTAAATCCAGACATTTATCTTGCACATATCCACTCAATCCCTATTTTCTCCCATTGATATCTTCCTCGCTTACTTTTGTTCGAGTGTCATTCGTCAATTAGCTTTAGATTCTTAGTTAATTTTAGTTTTTAACCACATAATTCTAAACTGTTGATTATCTTGGATAGCAATCTAGCTACAAACTACGATAAAATTGTTTAACCCAAATCCCTGTGGATACGATATTATATTATACTATATTCGACTAGCGAACATATTTAAATGTGTGTTTTGCGCTCATCAGTCGCGTGCAACCCCGTTACTACAACCTTTCACAACTATCTATGGAGCCTTTATAGCAAAGAATATAATCAAACACTTGGGCTAATACCCGACTAGCATAAATTAAGAAAACAACATGATAGCGACTACGAAATAGGAGTGGTGCCTCACCATATACCTCAGAAAAAGAGTCATCCTAGCCACCGCATGCCACGTATCATACATCATCCTGAAAAGTGTAAAGTAAGCGGGGCCCTGGAGGGCCCCCTAAGTGCTGAGTACACCACATCGGTACTAAATAAGTGTCATAGACTCTCTATAACTTAAGTTATTGGGACAAACTTTATAAAAATAATGCACCAATATTTGATATAACTATAAGAAATTTTATCAATTCATGATCCTTATCATTTTAAATAAAAGATAAGTGAAATATAACTCATAATATCAACTTTTAAAATATTTATGTCAATTCAGGTTTTTGAATAAAATCATACAAAATCATTCTGTTTGCTTAAAGTCCTTGAAATTACTTTCGACTCCTTAGGCCTAAATATAAGAAAATCATCCTTACATTTAACTGGGAGAACTATACCATCACCGACACAAGAAGGTCAACTAGGTTATGTACCTAGCGGCAAGTATCATATACCCTACTTGCACATGCCGTCTCATCGTAGTGTCGTACGAATTGACTCAACCATGATAATAATAGCACAAAATAGTACCATCTCGGGGGAGAGCACTCTGCCATAGTCTATACCACAAAGTGGCTATCTACGCCTACACCGGTGTATGTAGTTTCATGACGACGAACAAAATACATCCGAAGTCAATCTCGGTGAACACAAGTAACTCCCAAAATATTTGATACTTCAAAAATAGATTCATATCATAATAGCCTAAAATGATCTTTTTTTATCAAATCATAGCATTAATAGAAAATCTAAATCATTTGAACAAAATTAAAATAAACAATCTTTTACATGTTAAAGCCTTTAGCAATTTAACATCAATCTTTAAAAGATACCACAAGTGCTATTCTATTTATCAATTTTCAACAGAAATACTTTTCATGAAAACTTATATTTAGCACTCAAATATGTATACTCATATCAATACGTAAGTTTTGATAAAAACTTATAACATTTACCTTAAGTGTCATTTTGCCAACAAGATTTAAAATAAAAAAATTTAAAACGACATGACACTACATATGAAACGTAATAATTTAGTACATGGAGACATCATTACTTGTTTGTCCCCACAAGCACGAAAGCACATTCGTAAACAACTTATGCATTAACTCGAAACATGCTTTTAGAGAAGACCCCTCAAGAAGAGTAAATTTTAATCAACTTACCTCGCTTTCGCTTTATTTAATTCACAAGCCTTCAATCCTCTTCCATCGTTCCAATGTTGATTAAAATGCTCAAACATCACCAACAAGTCGATATCTACAATTAGATATCCTAATTACATCAAAATATGATCTAAATATTGACCAATATTTATTTATGGCTCATAAGTTGACCACAAGCCTCCAACAACTCAAGTCGCCGAATAGATTCACATGCTAGCCCATTCAACTTCATTCTTATATTTTAATACCCATTCGAAGTCATTAATAATACTCCATCAATTGTCCAAAGCCACCAAGTTACTATTCATCGTCTTCCATAATCAACACTTGTAAAATATACAATTGGAGTGATTACTTAGTTGATCACTTCCAACTTTTGCTAACAAATAATTTCATAAGTTCATTGTATTCATCAATTTCATCGCCAAGATTACTACTCGTTTTCTCTCTCATTTTCTCAAAAGTACTATTCATGCCATGAACTAGAGTTTTATAAACCAATATTTCAACAATTGAAACTTGTAACAAATACTTCTAACTACTCATAATAAATGAGTTTGAAGTATTAAAATTACCTCTAGTAGATCAATCTTGAAAAATCACAACTTTAGTGATTTTTGTGTTCTTGAGGATTTGATGATGAAATCTAGTATTTTGAATGCAAGAATGATATTAGAACTCATGTATATTGAGTAACAATTAACCCAAAATATCATTAACAACTTACCTTAGTTGATTGGACTTGATTTGAGCTTAAAATTGCCTCTTGACCTCAAGAACCCTAACCCCAAAAGCTCAAAATACTCCCTCTCCCCGAGCTTGGATGCGGACCAGGACGCTATGACATTACTTCACTGCCAGCCTTTGGTAATTTGATCATAACTTCTTGTAGGAATATCCAAATGACAAACGGTTTAAAGNATATATATTCGTCCAAAGTTAGGTCTTGTGCATACTCATTTAGAACTTTAATTTAGTCTATCATGAAATTTTCAATTTGACTTGTCCCAAGGGCTCTCCTTAGGCCCTATATCACTTCAAACACACCTTGTACACTTGTTATTATATTCAATTAATATCCATCATATTAATAGTTCTCATCTGCACACAAAATAATATAATTAACACACATCAATTTCTTAATGGAGCTTAGGCACTTCAAAAATTTTCCTTTTATATCTGTATATCCGCCACCCGCAATGGACGAAAGCTTGATGATGCAATGCCGCGAGAGACAAGTTTATATCATATTTGATAGAATCATAGTTCTCTTGATTATTATTTTGTTGTCCTTTTGAAATGCAATAACAGAAGGCTTGTCGTGCTTTACTTTGCATTGATTATCCTAGATTTAGCTTGGTATGTTATCTTTTGATTCTTATTCTTTTTCTTTTCTTTAGTGGATACAAAGGTGAAAGTATGTGTTATCTCAATTGCAGCATCAACTTTTGTGTTAGTTGGGGCTACCAACATGAACACGATTAATCTAATTATTTGTCTTTCTCATTCGAAACAAGCCCAAGAATTTAATTGTACGACTTCGTTTTGCAAATGAAGGTACATAGTATGAGGCGCATTATGTTAATATTAATCATTTTGATGGTTCCTTTTCCCTGTAAAATATGAAATTATCTTTCTCGATATCAGATTTCTTTTGTAAAGGATCTCACTCATACGTCCGTGCAAAGCACGGTCACGAGCCACCTAGTATGATAATAAAGAATATAGTATTGAAAAATGATTACGTAATCTTCCTAATGTTTATGCTAATTAGTAGTTGGTATTTACATAGAGAGGAACTTCTTTAGGTATATGATCACTAGATTTTTGAATATTTTCTCGATGTAAATCTTGCAAAATATAAATAAATCAAGCATGTATAAAGCCAAAGTGGTTAATTGAAAATTTTCAATTCCTTAAAACAAAGTTTATTTTGGTATTCGCTTCTCCATAAATATTTTTATTCTTCTAATTTTCTTTTTCAAAAACGTATTTATCCATGAAATTTTATAAGTTTTTGAAATAATTTCGAAAATGAGTTTTCCAAAGATCACTTTTTTAAAATTTTTTATTTTTCCACTCACAAAACTATAATATTTTTTCAAGTAAAATATATATTCAAACAGAATTTTAAATTCCAAATATTATTTTACAACTTAACTCCTTTTCAAAATTTATGTAGTAATTTTTATGTCCAAACAAACCGCCTACTAAATTCCTGTCCGAAAAAGAAAAGAAAAGAAAAAAGAGAGGCACGTGACTGTCACATGATTGGTCCATATTAAGTTCGGGTTACTGGTTCCTAAAAATGATGATAGCATTGCTAGTCGCAGGGAAAACAAAGTCGGGAAGGATGTGTTAGGGTTTCCAATTCCGATTCTTCACCTGCAAATTGTGACGAAGAAGAAGAAAGATGTGGCACGAAGCAAGGAGATCGGAGAAGAAAGTGCATGATATGATGGACGCAGCTCGTAAGAGAGCTCAGAGACGTGCCATCTTTCTCGCTAAACGCCGTGGCGACCCTCAGCAATCCATTCAAGCCATTGGCTCTCGATGTCGTATCTACCGCGACGACGCCCTTTATCAAGCCACTGAGGATCAGCAGGGCCTGTATGATTTCTTTATCCCTCTAATTTATCTATATGTTAAGGTGTTGATTTAGTTTATTATTGGATAGTGAAATTTGTTTCTAAAATACGAATGGTTCAGAACGGAAAGTGTCTTACAAATTGGAATGCAAGGAGTAGAAAACACGGGAGGTATTGGTTATCCAATTAATGTATGGAAAAGAGACAATTTTTTGGCCAATTTGAGCTTTCTTAAATGGAACATTGCTCCTCCCTTACGGGTGTACCATGTCACGTCCTTCGTGGTGCTTCCTGCTAGCTATTTGAAAATTTTATGGTACTGGCATGGTTACGTCTTTGTACTGGTTTGTTGTTTATCATGTTGGTTCTAAACTACATTTTGGATATTTTAAGGATTCATTTGGTATATTTGTGGATACATTATTATTAGATTCTGGACTGCATTTCTTACTTTTGTTGCACGTGTAATGATTTATTGGAGCTACCATTTTAGTTTCATAGTTTCCATGAACTGAAATGTACAGGCCTATTGAAAAAGTAATAGTATAATATAAGTAGGTGACTCATGCTACCACCATCTTATTTTCAAGCTCACATCCTTTGATATCTGTATTTCTATAGGTTTCCTTTGTCTCCCCATGGAATAAATCATCTGAAAAGTATTGTTGTTGTGCTGAGGTATTTTAGTATTATGAACTCTAAGGTTCAGTGTTTACTGATCCAAAGTCATCAGAACATTTTAAACTAGTCAATATTTACGTGGTGATTGGTTATTATTCTCTTTTTGCCCTCAAATAGTATTAGAAGCATTTACATGCTTGTACAATTTCATGTTTATTTAAGTGCTTAGAGACATGAGCTGATTTCTTTATTTATATATCAGGATACCTTGGAATGGGAAACAGGACATTCTGATTGACAGGTCATTTTTTTAAAAATTTTGTTTCGCAACTCTTAGGATGATAACTGAATGTGGTAGGAAATTTGCCTCGTCATATAGTTGACGTTTTGACTATCATCTTACAGATTTGATGGTCGTGCTCTTCTTGATTTTATACGAGATTCTAGTTCCCGACATCGTCGGGCCCCAGAAAGAACAGAGGAAGAGGAAGAACTAGAAGAGTTTGTTAGTTTTCAGCGTTATCGGGATTTAATTAAGCATCGGCGTAGAGGATGTCGGTACTTTTTTATTTTTTTGACTATCCTTTTCATTTTACCATTCATTATAGGATATTTCTTTCACATTAGGTATTTAGAAATAATTGTGTATATTTTTTGAGGAGACCATTCCACCATCCGAGTTAACACTATGCTTTTACAGTTAAGGACGAAGAAGGTCTGCAACATGTTAATCAGGAGATGGAGGCTAAGACCACTGCTCCCCTTGGCTCTGACAGGTTCCTATTTTCTGTCCTTACTAATCTCTTCTGGTTCTTTTCCTTTTAGTTGCCCATTTATCATCTCTCCTTACTCCGCGAAGATTAAAAGAAAAGACAAGTAAGACAATATAAGTAGATTTCTAAAATGAAAGATATTCTTCATGATATTGTCCCAAAGTGAAATCTGTTTGGGTTTAATTATTTGTTGCAAACTTACATGCCTTGTTGATCATTACATTACAGATTTTGTGAAGCGATCTGAATGTTGTTGAGTTTTTACTTGCTTACTATTTTTGTCAACAATGTAGTAACTAGGAATATTTAATTATTTGATAATCACTCTTTACTGATAAAATATTAAAGCTCTCTTTGAAGGAAGTATTGCATAGGTGGGCCGTCAGAAGGTGGAAAAGAACACCAAGGGCATGGGATGTCGCTCCATTAGCCTTCATGTGGGTAATATGGAAAGAGAGAAATTGGAGAGCGTTTGAAGGGGTTGACAATGATTTTGTAAAATTGAAAAGTAGCCTCTTGTGTCTTGTTTCGGTGCACCGATGAGGTTCTTATATGTATAGATGATTGAGTTTCTTTTATGCTTGTATACGAGGTCTCTCCATAATTAATAAAATTATTTAGCTTGTCAAAAAGATTGAAGAACTGACTCCTCTTGCCTTGTCCATTATTAATATTCCTAGTAAAGAAAATCACTCTATGTCATAAGTAAAGAGAACATTTGTGTGTGGTTTTTATATACTGCAGCCTAAATGTGTTATATTCATAATTTTTGTGTATTTTTTCTGTTTATTGTAATTTGTGGTTTTTATCTCTCGAAACTACAACAACATACCCAGTATTATCCCACGATGTGGGGTCTGGGGAGGGTAGTGTGTACGTAGACCTTACCCTTGCCTTGTGAGGATAGAGAGGTTGTTTCCAGTAGACCCTCAGCTCAGGAAAGCATAAGCACTTTATCTCTCGAAACTGTCAACGATTTTATTCTTTTCACTTTTTTTATCAGCTATGTGATGTGAAGGCAAAAAATATACTTCTGTAGATGGGTATTTACATTTTGATGCTTAATGAAATGTTAACGCTAGAGATATTGTACTAGTTATCTTTAGTATCTTGATTTGCTTCAGCTGCAAGTGAGTGTTGCGATTAATGAAAACATGTTATTTCTTTGTGGGTTTACTTGGTGTTCTGTGATACTACACTTTTCAAATGGGATGTTACATTAACTAGTCTAACTTGCAAGGCAGTTTTTATTTTCTAATATTCTCGGTATTGCAGACCTCAACTTTCTCTGCCTTCAGCAAGCAAGGGGTCGTATTCCCAAGTGGGTTTCTCATATGACGGAGAGGGGAAAGACGAGCCTCACTTTTCAGATGGCGAAGAAGATGGTGATGATGATGAGGATGATGATGAGGAAGAAGATTTTAACAGTGATGATAGCAACGACCAAGTGATGGAGTCAATTGCCAAAGATTATGGAGTGAAAAGGTATGGATGGCTTGTCTACATGGACAAAAAGGCAAAGGAGGAAGAAAGGAGGCAAAGAGAAGTAATCAAGGGAGATCCTGCAATAGTAAGTCTGCTAAAATATGGGACTTTTAACTGTTGCTGAATTGTATGTATACTGTCATACTAATCATGCCTTTGCAGAGGAAGCTGAGTCGCAAAGAGAGAAGGAAGGCTTCTCAGTTAGAAAGGGAGAGGGAAAGAGAAGCAGCCCGCATTACCGGGAACAGAGTTCTCCATCATGATCCCTATCGGTACTCTAGTTCAATCTTACACTTTTGTATACTTAAAACTTAAGTGCAGGTTAAAATCCCAGTTGTACGGATTGTTCTCTCACTCGCTCTCTTTTCTCTCCTTTATGAAGCGAGTCTCGACGGAGTCCGACATACGAAGCTTATTCACGTTCCAGAAGGTTTGTTATCTTTGTTATTTTATTTATGCATTTTCAAATTGATAGTAGTCTGTGTAATGCTGGTTTAATCTTTTTTTCCATCTGCACAGATCGAGGTCAAGGTCTCTCTCATACTCGCCTCCTCATTCAAGACGCTATGAACGTGGAGGAAAATCTGATGATATTTACCAAGGCAAGGAGAGAGCTCCGAAGATAGAGTATATCACTGAATTTGGTGGCGCAGACGATGAGAATGAGCCTAAATTTGGAGGATATTCTCCACCACCGTCTCCTCCGACTCGAACTGATCCATTAAACCGGTCGGAGCACTTGACCTTTAATTCTTGCAAAGCTAGATTGGACAGTCTTTTCTCTGCTGCAGCTTATCATCCATTTGTTAGCTGAGGAACTTAATGTGGTTTAGAATATTTCACATTTACACCTGTGAGATAATGTCAAGGGGAAGAGGGAGCAAGCTTCCGATCTGAAGCTCATTTTCCCCGAATTGAACTTACTTGACGCTGTCCAGATTTCCTTCTTAACATAAAACAGTTCTTGTTTAATATCTCACCTCTTCTGCAGGCCATCAGCTGGTCGTATTCTTGAGGCCCTTCATGTAGATCCTGCATCTGGGGTATCTGTTGAGAAAGATAAGAGTACCCAAATATTGAAAATACCAGCAAGGTGTGTCTTCTACACTCTTACGGTTTTATGTTTATTTGTCTGTTTGTCCTTCCGGACCCTGCATGTTTTTGTGCTTTTTGTAGATTCGGGCTATCAAATTCTCAATTTGTTCTCTCCTTAAAAAACAAAAGCTAGTAATTAATTTTCCTCTTTTTGGGGTCTTGGCAGTGCATCCTCAGCATTATCAAAGTTAAACAAGACAACTAGCAGTTCAAGCCTCTCTAAACAGCAGGGTGAAAAGAAGGAAACACCTCAGGAGCGACTTAAGCGGATAATGAGCAAACAATTGAACAAACAAAGTATATATTACTTCATGTGCATCTCAGGAGTAAACCTTTTGTCTTCTATAATGTGCTGCATTCTGCGATATAACCAGAATGAGGATCTCCTCTCTGTTCATTTTTTAAAATGAAAACTCTTCTTCTTTTTGTATGATTAAGTGGGTCATATTGTTGCATGCAATGCATTGTTCATTTTGCCTAAATGATGTCTTTTTCAGTCAAGAAAGATACAGCTGTTGAGATGGCCAAGAAAAGAGAACAAGAGAAACAGAGGCTTGAAAAGCTTGCAGAAACTAGCCGAGTAAGTCGGTATCGTCGCCGAAGCCGTAGCAGAAGTTACAGTCGTTCCCCTCGAAGGTACTAATACTGATCCTACTTGTTATACTGTACTTGATGTGTAGATTGTTGAATTTTTCAAAAGTGAGTATTGTCTTGCATAAGTTGATGATATAGTGTTCCTTAAAGTACCTTTACCTTTTTTACTTGATCTAGTTGTTTCTTTATTTAAAAGGATTTGTGAATTTGTTGATTAGAAATTGAGCGATGCCTGTCTACGAGATGCATGCTGGTGGAGCTAGAGGCCATAATTCCTGTCTACAAAGTCAATTCGCCTATTCACATAGTAAACTTTTGTATAATTTTGAAACCTGCCAACCTTGTAGAGTCATTGGTTTGAGGAAGTGTCTAAACGCTATATGAATCAAAATGGGTTGTGCCCACACTGACCTTTCAAGTAATTGGTAACGTGGGTTGAAACAAGGTAATCTAATGGTCAAAGCAAAGCTTCTTTCAGTTATTGGTTCTCTTATTTGTGTTTTCAGCAAGCGCGTACGCACAGCTCTCTTCAGCCCTCGTCTTCATCCGTATTCATTTTAGCTTTAGGTGAAACCATATTGAAAATTTGTCTATTGTTGCCTTAATTCATGGAAATTCAAAGAGTCCGAGCCCAAGGCTGCTCCTTTGCCTTCAATATCAGAGATTTGAGAGCCCTAACCTTCTCAACAAAAAAGGAAATCCCAAACAAATACCACCTCAAGTTTGTTCTTGATGGATTTTGTAAAATGAGGGTTGTGTTTTTCTTTATCTTTTGGGTACATTAAGCTTTAAATGGAGCTCGCTAATTGGACTAGGAGTAATGCAATTGAAAAACTGGCCCTTGATTTTGTGATGTCAAGGATGTGGGGGTGATTATTTCTTTTTTCTTTTCTTTTAGGGTTGAAAAGGGAGTTGGGATTTTCTTTGCTTGAATTTGTGTGTTAGTGGGTTTTTTAAAATGCATTTGTTGTTGTCTGACGTAGAAGTCACATTAAAGCTCATAACTAAGGCAAGAGAAAATTAAATGTAGAGAAACTTGGTCCTTTTAGACTGCTGAAGATTAGGAATTCTTATAGTTAAAGAGGAAGATTTAACTATCTAATCACTGATCAATCACTTGTTTTATTTTTTGGAGATCTCCTGATGAACTTGTGGCTCACCTTAACAATTTATTGAGAGTTTTAAATCCAGTTTATTACTTAGTTGCTTAGCAAAAAGGGGACTTTTGTAGTAATATTCTGCATTTTCATGTATCTCTTGCGATCCAAATGAGATATACATTTTTGATACTCCCTTAATTGAAAAGGGAATTGTTGGTTCAGAGTACAAGGATTAAAATAGCTAGCTTTTGGTGTGAAATGGCCATCAATTCCTTATTCATTTGGAATAGAATTTACTGATTCAAGAACTACATAAAAGGGAATGAAATTTTTATAATCAAAAGTATATAAAATGTTGGAAAAATAATTCTTAGTGAAAGAATAAAAAGTATTTCTCCCCAAAAAACTATAATGTCATGTAAACTGGGAAAGAGGAATTGTCAAGGAAGTGGGAGAAAAGAGTTTGTCTTTGTTAAACAGAAAACAAGCGCATAACTTGTCGAAAAAAGCTACAACAAGAAAAAAATGTGATTCATTGAAGAAATTCTAGAGAATTTATTCAACCTTGGACGCTTGGGCATTAGTGGTAGAAACTATAAATGGCGTGGTGAGTGTTAGATGTTCTTGCAGATCAAAGTATGCGGTCGTGTGATTGTTGTGTGTTTGTTTGTTACATTGTTCTGTAGTTTTTGTTGATAGATGGGCATGGATGTAGTGCCCTAATTATAACTCGAGTTCGGCGAGTTAAGTCAGGACCCGTCGCTAATCTATTTTGAACTAACCCACTTTGGTCCAAGCAAAAATATGGGTTTGTCAGGTAGATCGGTTCAGTTATTTAACCTGTTTAACCTTCCCATTCAGTCAGAAAAGTTCTCTTCAATCCGTGAAAGCCTTTGGTTCCTCTTTTGAAACAAGCCATATTACCGGTTGGAGGATATCTCGTAGTCTCTTATACCTCAGTTTCCAGCATTCAGGAAGCTTCTTGAAAAATTGGGTATTACCAACTAACCAACATTATTAGAAGAAAATTCCACAATTCCGTTGTAATCATGCGATTCGTACACCTATTAAGCAAAAGGTGCTCTTGTGCTTCCCCTCGAAAACCATTATCTGTTATATGTTAGTCTTTTTCTTTTTCAGGCATCCAAACTGAACAAATATTTAGCAGTGTCATCCATTTTTTTAATTTAAAAAACTTGGTTAACTTTCTCACGATTTTACTCTGCAAATTATTATCTTTCACTGTTAATGTTTGAAATTATTATAGGCACCGACTTAGCCGGAGTCCTATCCGCGAAAGGAGTGCTCGCAGATATCATTCACGTTCAAGGTCTCGCTCTCGGTCGCGGACTCGCTCTCATTCACGCTCACATTCACCGTCGCGTTCTTACTCTAGTTCACACTCGGTTTCTCGTTCCATTTCCCGGTCTCGTTCACCTCGGTAAGGTTTATTGCGTGTATGGCCACTTCGTTTTGATATACTAGGTAACTTATTACATGTGCTAATATTGCAGGATTAGAAGGCGAACTAGACACTGATACTTCAGGTATATGACTGGATGCATAAACGTGCGCTAGCTGATCGATAGTCGGCTGTGCGCGATATAGATTACTGATATATTAGACTGGTAACCTTATGCCGAAGCTGAATTTGGCTGATGGTGGAAACTTATATTCCCGTGTTGTGTTTATTTCTTTGGTTTCTTCTGAACTTTTAGAGGGTACTTGTGTGAAAGTAAATGGTTTCAGCTTCTTTGAAGACAAAAGTACAACATTTTGTACGTGTGTTAAGAAATCTTCTAAATATGTACAAATACTAAATTTCGGAAAAAGTAACTCAATTGGTTAAGTGGGTTCTATGGCATTCTAAACCATGAAGTTTAAATTCCAAATTTGCGTATGTATATAAAACTATACATTTTACTTTGATTTGAAAACTTAACTTTATTCCAATCCGATCAAAAGCAAAGTATCCCAATTACCCATTAAATGAAATGAAGGGAATGCCCATTTGTATTACTTTAATCTTTTATTCTCATAAAACTTTTATTTGGCTCCCAAACTTTATAGTTATCTCCATTTAGCTAGTCATCTAGATAGACCTTTCTATAGTAGATTGGAATAATTTAAAGGCGACCACCACACGAGCGGAGAAAAAGGGGTACTATGTTCTTTTACTTTTAGATTACAAATCCAATTTTTATGTATTTAACTTATATTATATGCATTGCTAATCTAAGCAAATTTTATATAATCAATTTATTTTAACTTGTTATAAGTTTGTCGTACGTCGTCTTATTTTTTAAATTATTAATCATATTTTTTTATGGGTACTTATTTATAGTTATCTTTTGAGTGACCTTGTAATATATAAATTTTTTAATAGTATCTAATAGAAATTAAACTCTATTTTTTCACAGTGGGAAAAAATGATGCCTTCTTTGCTTAACTCCATTAAGTTATAAATATGGCCCATTGACCCCCTAATATCAAAATTAGGTTCCACCTACGTACGAGTAGGATATGTCAGCACTCTTGAATTTGACAGCTACTAATCGTGACTAAGCTTGAAAATCATTTGTGATTATTTTATTAATTACTATTGTTATATATTTAGAAACTTTGCATCCTAAATATTGTACTTAATAAAGCATCATTTTGTTTTGTTGTTTATAATACCCTACTAATCTAGGTTGGTATGCTTTCGCTTTCCCATTAAATAAATATTTAATCAATTGCTTTTTTGAGGATCACCTTTTATGTAAGCCTTTCGTATTCATTAGGTTGTGCCTTTTCTAATAAAAAATCAAGTAACGAAGGGCAATCCATATTTTCCGAAACGACTTCTTTTAACCCATTAGTCCTACTGACCTAGTAAATTAGTACTAACATTTAATTTTCTATTGAATAGGTCGTTCCTATAGAGCCTAGCTAAGCGACTATTTTTCTTGATTATGCAATTAGTTAACTATACGACGGTTGATGAAGCACATGCAAGGCTGAATCTCTTTAGAATTTTTTAATATTAATACTTTGTATATATTGCGATGAAGAAAGAACGCAAGTGTTAGGGTATACTTACTACTTAGTACTACATGATTCTACTCCTATACAAATGTGAAATTATCACTACTTATTATGTGTCATAAACATTGAAAATTCCTTTTAAATAATAAGTTGCAGCGAGAAAGGATAAATGCTTGCTTTGCTAATATGTTGAATTGTCTGACTATTTTATTTAAAGGTTTAATTTGTTAGAAAAATAAATTTCTGTTTACTTAATTAATATTGAAAAATAAAAAATAAAAGTTTTGTTATGGGATGCAGGACTCGAGTGCAAACTTTCCCTTACGTCTATGCGTGCGCGAGCAGTATGTATTTCATATTTTCCAAGAGATGTTTTCTTTATTATTATCAAAAACTAGATCTACATCAGGCTACTGTTCGAGATATTTATGAATTATGGCACTATCAATTTAATTATTTTTTTTACTAGAAAATATTAGTGCTGCAGTGGATTAGTTTGAAGCCTTGGGGTCGTTTGGTTATCGGGTGGGAGAGACAAGGATATCCTATGGAATTAGCTAATAACATCATTTTGATTAAAATTTATTCCTCTACTAACTAATACCCATAATAGAACAGTATAGGATAAAATACGTTCATATTAAATGCTTGTATAATAAAGCGATATGTGGAGCCAAAGGCAGAAGGCAATCAAGTCCAAAGGCAACAATCTCGTTTGTTCCCGAAGGGAATGATGTTCATAAAGGTGAAATAAATGCCTACCACCCGGTAGCATTTAATGAAGAATATTCTATAGCATTAAGTACGTAGTCCGTTATAGAGAATATGACATTCACCGCCTACTATTACACATTCTTCAATGACTCTCATAATTATCATTTAAGAGCAGCTTGATCCTAGGACCTTGATCCCTAGGTGCAATTATAAATAGTGAGCTCAGCAACCATTGTAAGGGGCACGATTTTTCTGATAAACTGATGCAATATACTATTCAAATCTCAATAATTTTTTGTTTTCTTGCTTATTAATATTGTAACTGCTGCCTCCGGAAGCTCTGCTCTCGGAAACAAGATTTTAGCAGTCTGATCTTGATCTCAACGCTAAGTCTTACATTCTTGTTTAATTTATTTATCATTTTTGGGATCAAGTCGATTCACTTGTCTATAAACCACGTATAAATTCAACTATACATCTTTTTCAGGTAAACAGTTTGGCACCCACTATGGGGCATAGACAGTTGTGTAATTGAGTTGATCCTTGCATTTATTACTAACTTGTTTGATTCTTTGTTCTTAGCAAAAATCATAGAAAATGACAGATAACGATGTCAATATTGCATACAACATTGAGGCCCAAAGAAATCAGCCTCAACCCGAAGATTCGATCAGTGATACCCGCAACGAGGGGATGAGGCCACGCCGGTCCATGGCGGGCAATATCTACGTCATGTTTGAGAGGCAACTCTTGATGATGCTGAAGAAGAGCACATTGCTGAAACAGTAAGGATCCTGATGGAGCAACAAAAAGCTATTATGGGTCATCTCTCACGACAGAAGCAGGTCATGACAGAGTTAAGGCAGGCGTTGTCGGGTACTTCCAACAATGCGAATGGACGTGGCCTAGTTCCTCCCGGAGCTCCTATAAATCAAACAACGCAGAGGGTCGACAACAACACCCGAGGGGCGATGTCGTTTTTGACAAGGCCGTAGGGAACGATAGTGGATCCGTTCAAAGAATTTCCCGCCAAGAAAGATATCTTTACCAACTTCTCGTTGACACAAAATATGCCACCGGAAAGCAGGGGGATTATCTGTATAGGGTAAAATACGTTCATATTAAATGCTTGCATAATAAAGCGAGACGTGAAGCCGAAGGCAATTAGGTCCAAAGGCAACAATCTCGTTTGTTCCCGAAGGGAATGATGTTCATAAAGGCGAAATAAATGTCTGCCACCTGGTAGAATTTAATAGAGAATATTCTATAGTATTAAGTACGTAGTCCGTTATAGAGAATATGACATTCACTGCCTACTGTTACACATTCTTCAATGGCTCTCATAATTGTCATTTAAGATGAGCTTGATCCTAGGACCTTGTTCCCTAGGTGCACCTATAAATAGTGAGCTCAACAATCATTGTAAGGGGCACGATTTTTTTGATAAACTAATGCTATACACTGTTCAAAGCTCAAAAATATTTTGTCATCTTGCTTATTAATATTGTAACTGCGGCCTCCGGAAGCTCTGCTCCCGGAAACAAGATTTTAGTTGTCCGATCTTGATCTTAACGCTAAGTCTTACATTCTTGTTTAATTTATTTATCATTTTTGGGATCAAATCAATTCACTTATCTATAAACCACGTATAAATTCAACTGTACTGTTTTTCGGGTAAACAGAACATGATATAAATATAATCTCATATTTTATCTTGAAATTAATATCCTTATTCAGAGATAATATCACACGCAAAATGCCATGAGTTTGAAAATTTTAAGTTGTCAAATTGAATTCATCTGTCTTTTCCTATGAGAAAGTGATGCATGCTTGATAACTAATTGGACCAGCTAGGTGCAACACATTTGGCAATAATTTCAATAATTCAATATCTAAATACTTACGTGTGTGTTAATCAATTATAGATAGCTCATAATTGATGATATAATTAGTAAAAGCAACGTAACATTTGTGAAAAATCGCCATCTTTGTGCCTCAGAGGCAAGACAAGTGAATGAAGTGATAGAATACAAATAAGAATTGAAGGGGAACAAATAGGTTAGATCTTGGGAGGACAAGGAAGCAATGGTTCCCACAATTGTTTGTTCTCAATGGACCCCTTATATGGAAAATGCATGGCCAAGAGATCGCAAAGGTTTTATCCCCTATTCTTTCAAATCCTTTAATTTGCGAAGGTTTTTGTTTTGTCTCCTTTGGGTTGTAGATCTCAACTACAGCTTTGTGACATTTCATGTATGCGTTGTCGAATATTACATATCCTCCACGTTTGCCCTACAAATCTAGCTAACGTAACCCTCGATTCTCTTCTTTTCTATCAGAATGTATGTATGTAAGTTAGAGATTTGCTGCTTTATTTTGGCTAAATGATATTCATGTACATAACGTAAGACAAGTAATATAATTAGCTCACATAGTGTTCCTTATATATGGTTATGAAGTTTAATGACCGATCTAGTCAAAGACGGATCTAGTATTTTAATTTTATGGGTTCAACATTTAAAATTTTTAGTATTGAACCCATTATATTTTAAAGTTATGAGTTCATATTTACTATTTATAGAAATTTTAGTAATTTTTACATATAAATTTATATTTCGAGTTAAAAATATTTGGTTCAGTTGAACCCGGTAACTCTATGCTACATCCGCCCCTAGATCTAGCTGATTATATAAGAAGTCATCTGTATAGCGTATGTTGAAACATACTATAATTAACTGAATAAAAGTATAATATCTGTTAGTATTCTAGGCTTTTAAGTGAGAAATTTATATAATACTACATAGTATTCGAGCAGGCAATAGAGATCTTAATTTGGTTCAAATCTGACCATCGTCCAAAAAAGCTAAATACAGTTCACAATTTGAAAAAAAAAGAAGTAGTAGTATATATTGAGTGATTTGGTTGCAGTTACATCAGGGGTCATATAGTCCATGCAAAGGTAAGAAAAAAGTGTCCAATATTAAATTATGCCTTCCCTTGGTCTTTCACAGAAAGAATGGCAACAGTGTTCCTTTCGAGTTGTAAAAATCAACTTTCAGGTTTGTGAAGAAACGTGAGTTAGTTATGTCCATTTATTGAGCAACCAATTTATAGTTGACTTTATTTACGT